ACGCTGTATGGTGCAGACTAATAATAATAATAAAGTAATTTTTGTGTTATTTTTTCGCACGTAATTTGCCATTTTCAAAAATTCCCAACCAGCAGCAAAGAAAAAAAATTCGCCATTTTCAACACCTTCAAAAAATTGTTTTTGAAGAGCAAACACATAAGTTTCTTGGGCAAAATTATAGCTCTGGACATTATCTATCCAACGGTACCAAAAACTCTTCTAAATGTTCACACTCGACAAAGTTATGACCAAAACAAATAGTGGTAGCCAACCTGCAGCAAAGTCCCCTACATAAAAGCGTTCAAATGATGATAATTTTTTTACAATATGTACTTCACTTTTTATTAAAAATATTATGAAATTTAGAAACACTCACCTTTAGTCGCCCACGTGAGTTGTTGAAATAGTTATTTGCAGCTAGTAAATTTAATTCCAATGTTGTCGTTTCTAAATTAGTTGTAAGATTTTTTATTGGCGTATGAAGTCGAAGAACGTTCCAAGTTGCCTGAAATAAACCGCAAAAACGATTGAACTTTTCGTCTGTTTCATCAGATTAGAATCAATTTCTATAGATTCCATCTATTCTGATAGAAATCATCTGTGAAAAACCTCTAGAAGAGGTTAAAATGGAATGACGCTCCTGTGCGTGGATTTACCACTCAAATCGACTGATAGGGGAATGTCTTAATGAGTGGACCGTCTTAATGAGTGGACCACTTGACAGATCTCTATGAAGTGACAGTCGAAATGGCAGAACGTTGCTTCTATCAGTTTTGTATTGCCGCAAAACCATAATATAGCGAATGCCGGAGCGAAAACGTGCATTTTTGTGTTTGAACCAGTTGTGCGCAGAAAAAAGTGTGAAAAAAATCGAATTAGTAATATTGTGAGTTCGCCTGAGATTCAGAAAACGTCAAAAACTGACTTTTTTTAGGGTGAGTTTGGTTTTTTTGTTTAGTTTAGACATTAAAATAATTATTCCAATGTATTTCACAATGATTGTAATGTTTGGAAATTTTTTGTGAGTCACACCAAAATGGCGTCATTATTTAATGAGTGGACCATTCTTTGTATTAATGAGTGGACCACCATTTTTTTTTCTTTGTTATTATTTTTCATTTGTATGAACGTGTATTGTCACTGAACTGGTTTTAAAGTGTTTTTATAGCATTATACTGATATTTTTGTTTGTTTTTAGATATATTATCAGTATGTCGTCAAAGAAATCAAGTGGAAAAAAAAACCAAACAACCCGAAAAATCGGTCGAAACCAATTATGATGACTTACTCCAAGCGGTTTATTAAGTTGAAATCAAAAGGTGCGACCCACCGCAGCGCGTTACAACATTCCGAAAACCAATTTACTCCGATACATGCAGAAATTGGACAGTGAAATATCCGATATTACAGCGGTTCCCGATAGTAATCTCAAGGATATTCTGCGCAGCTACGCAAGGCGTAATCCACCGTTGTTGGTAAGTTAATGACTTCTTTTTTTACAGTCAGTGTTTATGAAATACGTTTTGCTTTTGTTTCTTCTCAGGTTTTCGATCCAAAATCGGAAAACATGTTGGTTGGATATATTCTGCTGTGTTGCAAGCACTATTACGGACTCAGCATAAGTGAGCTGAGAGAGTTGGCGTATCAATACATTTATATCTTCTATTCTTCAATACAATAAATAAACATTCAATAAATATTGAAATTGAACGGTATTTCCTCGATTTTGAGCCATTTCCGAAGTATTCACAAAGTGGTCCACTCATTAATACAAAGAACCGTGTCCCATTTTGTATGGAGTTTGGGCTATTTTGTACAGAGTTAATGCATTAGCATATCATCTTAAAGGGCATTGTGTGTAGATAAATTATATATAGATACCCAACCCCTAAATTGTGAGGAAAGGGGTTAAAATTGGGGATATGTTGGCAACCCCAAAATAAAGGTATCACTTCCCAGGGCAATAGCTCCCTAACTATGGGAGGTAGGGCAATACTCCTTGGGTCAGAGTTGTAGTACTCATGAATACCTATCCAAAGGTATAAATAATATTTCCATTTGTTCATAGTAAATGAAAAATACCGTTATTTTAAAAATGTTATTTTTTGGGTAAAAAAATCATATTACTATACCCGAAAGAGGGCCAAAAAATGCACAAAATCACCAAAACAAACATATGAGGCATGTTTGACCCTTTTTTTGGCCAAAGGGATGGAGGGCGACCTCACCCAAGATATTATGCAACGTCCTGAACACTTCGTCCATACATAGTTATCCACTAAATGGTTTATTTCTTGACCAACAATGTGTCGGTATTGAAAAAATTACTCACCCCTATAACATCCCGTTTACACCCTGTAGGGCAGGTCAACCTTGATATTATCGACATACTCACTATGCCCCACTGTTCCACGGTATAAGTCTTATTGATAAACATCGTACGACACAAAAAGGAACACCGCCCTTTGTACCAGGCTGAAATTTTATGAGAGTGAAGGGCCGTAGACCCGTTATTGAAGGAGATGGGGCAAAATGGTCTAAAGCAATATTGTTCTCCTTGGAACGCTGTACAACTTTGTTGAACATACCCAAGTGATAGCCCCTGCACCAGCCCCAGAAAATGGGTATAATATGATTTTTTTACCCAAAAAATTACATTTTTTCATGTAACGGTATTTTTCATTTACTATGAACAAATGGAAATATTATGTATACCTTTGGATAGGTATTCATGAGTACTACAACTCTGATACAAGGAGTGTTGCCCTACCACCCATAGTTGAGGAGCTATGGTCCTCGGAAGTGATACCTTAATTTTGGGGTTACCAATATATCTCCTATTTTAACCCCTTTCCTCACATTTTTGGGGCTGGGTATCTATATATAATTTATCCACACACAATGCCCTTTAAGATTATATGCTTTAGAACTCTGTACAATACAGCCCAAAATGGAACACGGTTCTTTTGGATATGCCAAAAACAAGGGTTTTTGGCCGAAGGCAATATTTTTTTTGAAACTAAACCAAAAATGTTTCTGATACTTGTGACAGTTAGGTAGTAACATTAGCTAAACATTAATGTATAAAACACCAATATTGCTTTTCAAATAATGATTTTATAAACCTTAATCCTTAGGTGGTCCACTCATTAAGACATTCCCCTATCATTTTGAGTGACGCTAGGACGCTGTATTATCACTTGATACGGGGTTCAAAAGTATTTTTCGCATTCACTATTGTGAAAATTTACTCACAATAAGGAACAAAATCGCGTCACGACTTTTGAACGGCAAAACGCTTGAAAACTTGATCTAAAATCAAAAGTCGTGACGCAAGATATTTCACCTTATTGTAAATAAATATTTTCACAATAGTGAATGCGAAAAATACTTTTGAATCTCGTTGAATAGAATAGAACCGATTTCTTAGAGGTTTTGAATATAACTGAACTTTATTTCTTATTTTTCTATGACAAGATTTCTTAGCTTTCAAATATGGTTACTAAGACTATTCATATTCTCCCACCCCAAAATGTTACATTTTTCTTGAATTTTTTCATATTCTTTTACAATTTCGGTTTCATTCAAATCGCCGTTTAAAATGATGATGGGTATAGATGACTCTTTCAATAACCATTTGTCGTGTAGCTCATGTAGAATTTTCAGGTATTCCAAACTCACGCCATTTTCTTCTTCTCGATCACGCTTCCTCATTCGATTTAAGGCAATCTCCGGTGATGTTCGCAGATATATGAACAAGTCAACTTCGGTCGGGCTGGTTTCGATAACGAATTCTAGCATTTCCTTCAATATTTGATTCTGGGCAGGATGAATTAAATTCATCATTCTACTCGCCCCAATGAAGCAGTTTGTGATGCTATGGATTGATCTTTCCATTATCTTGTAGTTTTTATCGGTAGTCCTTGAATAATTTTGAAGCATGGTGAGAGCTACATAGCTTTGGAATGGAACGAACCATTCGTTTCGGTTTTTGAACATTAGATCGAGCAAATTAACACCTTCAAAATTGCTCCATTTTTCCACTGGTTCAGGAAGAATGTCAATATTGGTGAATTTGTTGAAATAATTCAGCAAAGTGCTTTTTCCAGAACCGATGTTACCCTCTACGACTAAGGTAAATGATTTTTTGGCAACAGCTGATGGGAATGATGTCAGCATGATTACGTTTTTGTGTTCATCAATCGGAAGCGGGGCCAGTTTGATAATGGGACGAACATAAGTTCCTTCTTTGGTCTTAACTGTACAGACTCTGATCAAACCATCTGGTCCAGGATGCGTTTTAATTATCCTCCCCATCAACCATTTGAGTGGTGGAAAATTCTCCTCCTTAATTAACACCACATCACCAATTTGTAGATTTTGTTGTGTTGTCAACCATTTCTGACGCTGTTGAAGAGAGTGTAAGTAACTCTTTTTCCAAAGGGCCCAAAATGACTGTACTCGTTTCAGCATGGCTCGATAGCGATGAGTAAGTTGAACTGAAACTTCCAGAACATTTGGCTCAGGTACGGATGTCATTGCGTCTCCAATCAGAAAATGTCCCGGAGTTAGATAAGTCAAATCTTCTGGATCATCGGACATTGGTATCAACGGACGGGAATTCAGACAGCTTTCGATTCTTGCAAGAATGGTAGCCAATTCATCATATGTCAAAGATTTCTCGCCAATGACTCGTTTGAGGTGATTCTTTGTTCGGCGAATATTTGACTCCCAAATTCCACCGAAGGATGGAGCTGAGGGTGGATTGAAGTGGAAGTTGACTCCCAAATTGGCAAGTTTATCTTTAAGCGCTGAATGAATCGCTTTGAGATATTCTTCTTCGTCTTTTCGAAGCATCGTGCGTGCACCAATGAAATTTGTACCTCGATCTGAGTAGAGATCACTGCATTTACCTCGTCAAGCAATGAATCTCTGGAAACTCATTAAAAATGCTTCTGATGATAGATCGATTACGGGTTCCAAGTGAACAGCTTTGATGGTCATGCACACAATAAAACCACGTATCCTTTGTAAATTCTGCTACCTGGCTTCTTTGAAGTTCTCAGCAAAACGGGTCCACACAAATCAACTCCCGTGTGTAGAAAAGGCCGTTGACATGGTGTAACACGGACAGCCGGTAAGTTGGACATTAACTGGCTCGCTGTTTTAGGCTTGTTTCGAAAGCATGTGACGCAGTTGGTTATTACTGATCGAACTGGATTTCTTCCGCCGAGTATCCAATATTTCTGTCTAATTTCAGCCAAGGTGAGTTGTACGCCGGCATGCAATGCAAGTTGATGATGATGTTGGATAACCAATTTGCTGAAATGACTTTCTTTCGGCAGAATGAACGGGTGTTTTTGGTCATAACTGGCTTCCGAAAAGCTTAATCGTCCACCAACACGCAGTAATTCATTTTCATCCAAAAATGGATTCATTTTCGAAAGCGGATGTTTAACTTTGCTTTGACTTTGAACAAGTAGCGCTATGTTTCCAAAATTTTCCTTTTGCACAAAGGAAATCCAACGAAGATTAGCATTATTCAGTTCAGTAACGCTAAGCGATCCCCTTTTAACCTCTTGTTTGGCTTTCAAATATTGAAAAAATCGACGGAACCAAGCAGTATATCTCAATAATTGAACTAATTCAGCACAATAATCGAGAAGATATTGAGTTGGAGTTGAAACTACGTTGACAACATTGATTTTGATAGGTTTCAACTCATCAGCCAATTCGATTTCTCCCACCGCTTCCTTCTCCGTTTTTGTATTAGAGGGCCAGGTATTTTCGGGCGATCTCAACCAAGCTGGTCCCGAGAACCAAAGTTCGTTGTTTTCAAGCTCTGATGGAAACAATCCCCTTGATAACAAATCAGCTGGATTTTCCTTAGTTGAAACATATCTCCATTGATGTGATTCGGTTGTCTGAAGAATTTTTGTGATACGATTTGCGACAAAGATTTTCCATTTTCTCGCATCACCTTTCAGCCAATGAAGTACGACTTGTGAATCACACCAAAGGAATACATTCGAAGCGTTAAAACTTTGATGACGAATAGATTTTTGTGTATACTTGACAAGTTTCGCCAGTATCAAAGCAGCCGATAATTCCAAACGTGGAATTGTTTGAATTTTGATCGGAGAAACCCTTGATTTCGAGACAATGATTTTTGAGTGAATTTCTCCGTTTTCATCGATACAACGTAGATAAATACCAGCACCATACGCTTCAGTTGAGGCATCCGAAAAACCATGTAATTGAAATGATGAACAAATCGGGGATGCTCCAATCCAACGCGGTATTTTGATTGAAGAAAGTAAAGGCAGCTTGCCGATGAATTCCTTCCATTCGCGAAGTGTTTTTGTTGGCAAAGGGTCGTGCCAATCAAGATTTAATGACCACAATGATTTCATGAAGATCTTGGTTTTCACAGTGATCGGTGATACCAAGCCGAGAGGATCGTAAATGCGAGCGATTGTTGATAAGACGAATTGTTTCGTTACGATCTCTTTGTCCTCATAACTAATGTTGAAATTCAAAGTGTCCGAAGAGGTATTCCAAAAGATACCAAGCGTTTTGATTTTCTTATCCGGATTGATGAAAAATGGTATGCTAATTTCTCGATCAGACTCTGGAACCGCCGCTAAAATTTCCTCCGAATTACTTGCCCACTTTTTGATACAGAAACCAGCAGAATCGAAAATATGTATCAAATCTCGTTGAATTTGGAGACCGCTACTAACGTTGTGGGAACCGGTGATGGCGTCATCCATGTAGATATCTCTTTTCATCACTTCCGCAACTTGTGGAAATTCATTGCTATTCAGTTCAGCAAGTTTTTTGACACACTGATTCGCTCCACAAGGTGCATAATTTGTGCCAAATCCCAGTCGGCTGATACCATACTCTCGCAATTTTTCAGACGGATTGTCTCTCCAAAGAATTCGTTGATAAGTTATATCGCATTCAGCAACACGAATTTGGCGATACATTTGTTGAATATCACCAATGAAAGCTACTCGATGAAATCCCCAATTCAGTAAAATCGATACTAAATCGTTGAGAAGCATTGGTCCGGTGAAAAGCACTGAGTTCAACGAATTGCCGTTTGAAGTTATTTTTGCGGCATTGTAGACTGGACGCAAACGAGTTGAAGTGCTGGTTTCTTTGATAACGGCATGATGTGGCAGATAGAAACAGTCATAAGCAGCACGATCGTCTTCGGTGTAATATAAACGGTCCGATTCTGTATCGAAAAGTTCATGCATGTGACCTTGAACCAAGTAATCATTGATGTTTTTTGCGTATTCTTCTTTGAACTTTGGGTTGTACGCAAATTTTCTTTCCAATTGTAGAAATTGTTTTAGCGCATTTTCTCTCGATTTTCCCAAAACAGCTTCTGGATGCAGTGGTGTGCGAAATGGAAATTTCACGATGAAACGGCCTTCCTCGTCTCTCCGATAGTTTTTATTGAAGAAATCAATCACGTATTGATCTTCATGGCTGTGTATTCTTTCTTCCGAAATCTCTTCGATTTCAAAGAATTTTTGTAGAAGTTCACCAACTTGGACTGTGTTCATTGAAACTGACTGATAATCGTTGTTGTAAGCTTTTCCGAAGAGAATCCATCCCAACTCAGTTTTTTGTGCAGTTGGCGTTCCCTGGGGACCTTTCATGACTTCGCTGAGAACAATTTCGCCATAAATCTCCGCTCCCAAAATGATGTCAATTGGGCCGGTTTGATTGAAATTTGGATCGGCGAGTGGTAGATTCTTGATGTGCCACCAATTCGAAAAGAAGATTTCTTTCGATGGAAGTCGATGAATCAACGATTTGAGAACTAAAGCATGAACTTCAGTCGTGAATGATGAATTCGTGGAATGAATCTGGAAGCTGGTAACACCATTACTCTTTGATTGGACGTGATCCAGATGATCCACATTGATGAGGCATCTTGTTTTATTCAAACCCAGTGTTTGAATTGCTGATTCCGAAATTGCACTAGCTTCACCTCCCAAATCAATCATTGCTCTCATAGGAATCTTCTTGCCTTGTTTTGAAGAAACCAAGACTATTGCTGTCGCTAGCAATGTTGAACGAAAAATTGGTGTTTCAATTGTGCCCGTATTTATGCTCTTTGAAGTTGACGTTGAAGCTGACATCGAAGTCGATTCTCCTTTCATTTTTGAAGATCCTGTTGGATGCAGCAGGGTATGATGACGTGAATTACATTCGGCACAATTTCGTCGACTGGAACATTTCGGCTTTAGATGAAACTTGGATAGGCAGTTAAAACAAAGGTTCAAGCGTTTGGCTGTAGCATTCCTCTCCTCTGATGACAATTCCAGGAATTTAGGGCATGTACGAATTAAATGATTCGCAAGACAAAGAGCACATTTCAGTTCTGTTTGATGATTTGAAGTTACAGAAGATGCACGTGAAGGTGCCCCTGAATTTGAGTTATATTTCTCTTGTTTGAAATGCAGTGATTTAATGGATTTGTGAGACTGACTTTTCGGTGGTTTTGACTGAACTTCAGGTTGACTCTCTTTGCTCGGTTGAATAAGCTCTAATGTTTGCATTGTTTTTTGGATTTAGTCAGTAACGTCTTTCACTGACGGCAAATACTCCTTACTTTTTTCAGTAATTTTTTTCTCGAACTCTTTTCGTGTTTGTTCTGGCAATTTTTCAATAGCCAAGTAGGCTATGAAAGGATCGATGGCTACTACGTCGATTTCGATATTCTTGAAAGTTTGGACGCTTTCATGAATAATGGTGTAGAGATTTCTCAACGTTTCCAGCGATTCCGAATCGGATTTTTCAAGGCATTGAAGAGCTGATATGGTATTGTTGAAAATCACTCTTCTGTTTTCGAATTCCTCGCGCAGTAGTTCAAGCGCAGATTCATAGCTCTCTTCAGCTACTGGTAGATGTTTAATTATGCCTCGGGCTTTACTCTGAGTGGCAGCAAAAAGGTACTGAAACTTTTGGACTAGGTGGACCTTTTTGTTGGTGTGAATCATGGCATGGAATTGGTCGTAAAAACCCTTCCATTCGCTCGACTTGCCAGAGAATGTTGGCGGTTGAAGTGTTGGTAATTTTATTTGAGCAGAACTCGAAGCTTGTAGATTTTGTAATGCATGCAATAAGTCTACATTTCCTGGTTCGGTTGAAGTCGATGTTGTAGCTGATGATGGGTTCTGGGCCAGTAGATTTTGAAGTTCAGTTTCCACTTCTGAGTAGACCAAAAAGTATGTTTCCACGTATGTGTTGTATACTTTATCAACGAAATATGGTTCATTTTGTTCGTTGGGTGGAAGTCTTATCGAAATTTCGTCATGGGTTTTTCGAAACTCGGCGTATTCAGTCTCAAAGACTCGGAGGCGTTGATTTAAGCTTGATGGAGTTTTAAGCGTTAACGGGTCGTTGAAAATTTCTTGGAATCGACGCTATGCCTTCTTACGTCAACGCCAACTGGTGCAAGAACAAGTACTACAAGCACAACGTACGTCAAATTCAAAGACTTGTATACAAATATATACATGTGTCAATTGCTTATTGAGCGGTTTTCTGTTCTCAAGAAATATTCTGAGTTTATTTTTATTAAAAAGCGCGAATATTTTTTTTTTCAATGCAAGAATTTAATCTTGTTATTTTAAAACGTAAAATCAAACATTTTTCTCGTGTTTTTGCGTGTTTTTGTCAACACAAGAGTAACTTAAGAATTACGAACAAATGTCAGTTCATTTGTTGACGTTCCACGTTCCGATTGTTTGAATGACAACATGAAGTGACATTTGTCGCAGTTATTCATGTTGATGAAAACACGTGAAAACACAAAAATTTCATTTAATTTTATATTTTCTAAAATATTAGAATATTGTTTTTTATTGAAACATGTTTTTTTGAGTTTTTCTCTTCAAGTGATTGCTATATTTATACAAACGTGGTATTTCATTGTGTGGTTTGTGTTTGTTTTGGTTTGTTTATTGGTTGATTCATGTCGACACAATGATTCTAATAGTGATATGCTGTGCAATTGAGGCTTGAAATATTTTTTTTTCTCTTTTGGAAAAAATATCAATGGAATAAGAGAGATATCAGTGTAGTGCGAGCAGATTTTTATGTTTTTATGTGAAAGAACTACTATTCAAAACAGTCAATAACAGTATACCCAACGTGTAAGCGTCTGAATACAATTGGTATACAATGGTTCTATTACATGTTCTTGCACCAGTTGGCGCTTCTGGGCTCATTTATATGAGAACTGTCAAGAAGGCGCAGTGTCGCTTGGAATCGAATTATACGGTCGAGCCTACCAAATTGTAGTCGGAAAAGTTGTTCGGTTGATAATTCGGTCATTTTGCACAAACTTATAACAGCACACTCCTAACCCAGTTGGATTTGTTCGATTTAAACAGCAGTCGAAGGACCAAAAATGAATAGAATAGAACCGATTTCTTAGAGGTTTTGAATATAACTGAACTTTATTTCTTATTTTTCTATGACAAGATTTCTTAGCTTTCAAATATGGTTACTAAGACTATTCACTCGTATCCAGAGATAATACAGCGTCCTAGCGTCACTCAAAATGATATCAGTCATTTTGTGTGCTAAATCCACGCACAGGAGCGTTACTCCATTTTAACCTCGTCTAGAGGTTTTTCATCTGATAACACTACTTTTGTAAGGCAAATATTTTCGGGAAAATACACTTCTGCCAAATCAATGTCTTATTATTGGAAAGTTTCCGTTTTTTTTCGTAAAACATTTGTATCCATATTTCACAAACTCTGGAAATAGTAAATTTAAACTAACATCTAAAAAGTCCCATTTTTCCCTAATTTCACATTGTAAAATGCGATAAAATTTCGAAATAACCATAAAAGGAATGTTGAAATAATTGTGGATACTTATTATTTCATTAAAAACAATTGTTTTCAACTACCAAAGCTTTGGGAAATGCGTTTTTTATGTGTCCCCCCAAAAAAAGTTCAATTTCATACATTCAGATGCAGAAATATTGGTTTATGACCAAAATGACAACGAAGTGGGTATTAAGGTATTGGTAGACTCCCATTATTTTTACGAAAAAACAGCAGTTTTCCAAGACCAAAAAGTCGTCAGAGGACTATTCCACGTGTTTTCCGAACAAAAACATCATTTTCAGTGAAAATAGAGCAAGTTGAAAAATTCACTTCAATCCGACCTATTTTTCGACCATGAAATGGCCTCAGATCGCATTGTAACCATTTTTAATCGATTGCTCGTCGAAAATTGAGCGGATATGGCTTATCGTGAGCTTTTTTCAGCCATTCGATGTGTATTTTCGGCAGCATTTTCATCGTAGAATGCGACTCTTCGTACAAATTCCGTTCATTGATGAATTGCCCATGCCCAGAACTTTGAAAAAGGAAATTTTCCCGGATATATGGCATATGCCATTTTGTTGGTATAATCACCGGCTACAAATGCTCAGTTTTTGGTTAAAATCGGTTGGGCTGACTTTTGAGTAATCGCGTTTGGTGTGAAATTCAAGGGGGTAGATTTTTCATAAAAATCGACTTTTTTCTTTTATATCACATAAACATTGGCATGTGTGTATGGAACTTTTTAAAGGTCTTCTCAAATAATTACGAGCTGACTTTGCCCGATGGGCGTCTGAGTTGATCTAGTGTGCGAAATAAATACTCCAAAAATTTTTATACACGCAGGTTAGTGAAGCCAAATGTCAATCTGAGGATGGGTTCCGATGTGCCCCGACACGAGCTACAACTTAAGCATATGCGTACCGGGATCTGTGGTGGGTCGAAAAAATTGACAGACAGACGAACAAATGTCCAAATCGATAATAATTTCATAGAAAACCATAGTCAAACTGCCAATGCCCCTAACTTTTTCGTTTTTGAACCAATCGGGGCGCTTGGACCGGCCTTGGAAAGGCGGTGGGGAGCTTCTCTTGGACACCTCAGACCACTCCCTGGGTACCTCCTTCGTCGGATATGGGTATAGATTTGAAAATTTATCGAAATTTTCCAACCACTATATTTTTGACTAGACCATACTTTAGGCTATGGTGTTTTCGACTATTTGGGCCAAGACCTTTCCAACGGTACCTAACATGCCGGGGCTCAAATAGTGTCTTGAGAAAATAGCATACTTGCTGTATATAGGGTAAGGTGGGGTAATTCGCCGCAGTTTTTCTTAAATAATTAAAACTCCAAAAAAATGCAAATAATTCCGGAAAGTTTAGTATCATTTTAAAGCTAGCTTTTTTACCCAACTTATATAGAAGAACACTTTTAGATATGACCATCGGCGCGGTCAAATATAGCCCTCGGCGCGGAGGCCGAGTTTTTGTGACATCGGAAAATGGTGGGGTAAATCGCCGCAGCCGTATTTTCAGTGCGTTTTATAAGTTTATCTTTGTGAAATTGTTTATTTTATGATTTAATTATCTTCAGACATTCGAATATAAATAATTTCAACCATTGGTCGACTGATTTGAACGTTTCATGACTCTCAAAAAATAAAAGAAAACTAGTACCCAAAAGTGATGAAACGTACCCATTAAATGTTAACAATTTTGAACGTATATCAATCAAAAATGTTAAGTCATTTGGGTATTTTTGAGATCTGAAACTTTCTGTCGATAGGAGTAGTGCCCTTTTACATTGTTCTATTCACAGATATGAATGGTTTGGAGCGAAAATGTAATACAGAAAAGTTGTGCGGAAAAATGTCGATGATGAATGAGCGGAAAAGGGATAGCCATATAGTACACTGTATAGTAAACTGTAGTAAACTATAGAGCTATCCCTTTTCATTTGACATTTTTCCGCTCAACTTTTCTGTATTAAGTTTTCGCTCCAAACCATTCATATGAGTTATAAGTAGAGCCTCTAGAAATTGTGAAAATTGTTAAAACAACAATTTTAACA